ATAGGGCGCTTAGTGGATGTGAAAATTTTATTCTAAGGCTTATCGGCATGAGTAGAAGGAATAATCTTCGGTTGAGATGATGTTTTTGGGCCTATGTTGATTGGGGTGATGTAGGATCACCCGTGGTTACGTGTATCGTGAGTTTATACCGTGATTTGATGGCTTGGGAAAGACTCTTGGCACGTTCGAGGATGAACGTTTGCTTAAGAGGGGCAGAATGTAACGACTTGACCGGTCGTTCTGAGCTTTAAGGTTCTGTTCAGTGGTCCGAGGCCTTGAGTGGTATCATATTGTGTATTTATGAATTGTGTGCATGGTTGGATTTGATTTTCGGATGTTTCGGGATGAATTTGGATGAGTGATTCTCACTTTAGAAGTTTAAGTTGAAAATGTTGACCGAGGTTTGACTTTTATGGAAACGACCCCAGAACGGTGTTTTGGTGGCTCTGATAGGTTCGTATCGTGATCTGGACTTGGGCGTATGCTCGGAATCAAATTTGGAGGTCCGTAGGTTGATTTGTATTGTTTTGCCGAAAATTGGCAACTTGAGGTTTAAAAGTTCGACAGTAGGTTGATTTTATAGCTATCATGTTTGGACTTCTGTTTTGAGACTTGGAATAGGTCCATTTGATATTTGGAACTTGTCTGTAAATTTTGGCGTCATTCCTAGTTGATTTGATAGGAATTGGACGCACGATTGTGTTTTTAGAAGTTCTTGAGTTTCATTGTAGATTTCATGTATTTTGGAGGTTCGATTCATGTTTTTCGATATTATTTTGATGGTTTAATCCTGTGACTGAGTTCATATTATGTTTTTAGACTTGTGATGATGTTTGGTGTGGAGCCTTGAGGGATCGGGTGAGTTTCAGATGCGTTTCAGAGTGTTTGAAGAGTTTTAGTTTTCTCTGTTTTTGATCAGGTGCTGCAGATCTCGCAAATGCGAGATTTCGTTCGCATTTGTGACATTCGTATTTGTGAGGAGGGAGCCGTTTTTTCAAAGGTAGTTGGGAACTATCATGCTCGCATTTGCGAACTTAGGGTTTGCATTTGCGATGGGACCTGGGCTGGAGGAGTTCCACATTTGCGATCGTTGGGTCGCTATTGTGAATGGTCCATTGTTCGCATTTGCGAACTTTATGGTGCAATTGCGACAATAGCAGGGGTGTGATGATTGTCGCATTTGCGGTCTTTTTCGCATTTGCGAACTCCAGGTCGGATTTGTGTCACCTGCGACTAGACATAAAAGCTGAGAGACAGGATTTTAGTCTCATTTTCATTTCTTTGAATCCTAGACTAAGTAGGAGGCGATTTTGAAGGGGGATTTTCATCTACAATCATTGGGTAAGTAATTTTGACCAATTTTCAGCTATTTTACATGATTATCTATGAGATTTAACATCAAAATTATGAGAATCAAAGTGAAATTTTGAGAAATTGTCTACGTTTTGAAAAATGAAAAATTATGATTTGAGAGTCGAATTGGACTCAAATTTTGAAACAAAATACATATATGGACTCGTGGGGTTATGGGTAGTTGGAATCTACCCTTGGACCCGCATTTTAATAGGGCGGGCCCTGGTTTTCTTTTGTTGACTTTTGAGGAATTGTGCAAAGATCATAGGTTTATTTATTGGAATTAATTTCTCTTTCATTAATTGATGTTATTAAGTAAATTTTGGTTAGATTTGAGCCGAGCGGAGGTGAATTGTAAAGGAAAAGCTATTTTTGTGTATTGATTGAGGGCTTTTGAGGTAAGTATCTTGTCTAATTCTGTGTGGGAGAAACTACCGTAGGGATTGGTTTGTTTACACTATTTGAACTACGTGAAAGACGTGTACACGACCTTATATGTGGAAATTTGACCGGTTTGGACTCTTAGGGTTCTTATGCACACTAAATTAAAGTTTCTCTATCATGTTATGTTTTCCATTGTTAAATTCACTCTTATATGCCTTATTTGAAGTTGTTGGTTCATGATCTATCTTTTGTAGCCAAATATACTCATACGTGTTGTAATTGTAATTGTTGCCTCTTTATTATCGAGTTACCTCTTTCGTAGTTGAATTATTCTTAATTGAAGTTATTGTTACATGTTGCTTCTTCCGTAGTTGATTATCCTTATTTGAAGTCGATGTTACATGCTATCTCTTTATTTGTTGAACTACTCTTACTTGAAGTCATTATTACTTGTTATGATTTTCATCTGAGCTTATTCTTCCGTTTCATTGTATTATTGTCATTCTTGTGTTGATTTACTTGTCATACCTCATGTTATTATTGTTCTTGTTGTACTCGGTGTTGTTGAGCCGTGGACTATATGTGGTTGTGGTATTAGAATTATTGTTATGGAAATATTATGATATATGGACACATGTGGTGCAGGTTGTTATATTATGTTATTATGTTTTTGGGCACATGTGGTATTGTTGAGAGGATTGTCGGGGTGTTCGTACGTGAGTTGTTCGTGCTATTGTTATTATTGATATTTGCATATGCGGCATGACAAGACGGGCTATATATATTGGGTTTGCGCATGTGACGAGACAAGGTGGGATAATTATTATGCGCATGTGGACAGACAAGGCGGGAATTTATATTATTATTGCGCACGCGACGAGACAAGAGAGTTATGTTGTGGATGATTTGTGATGGCCTAGGGGCATTGTCATTGAGGATATTTGTGCGGTGGTGAATATCTTGTGTGAGTCATATATATTAAGGGTTTTGTTATGTTGTTTTCCTATGCCATTCAGTGTCTCTGATCTTACTTGTTGACTTGAGGTGTGATAGTACACTTGCACAAGCATACACCGTAATCTGTCACTTATATCAATCCAAGAATATGAACCTTGATGTTTGTTGATCATGTACATGCATTCTTGTATACTTGCCTTCTGTGCGTAAGTTGTACTATCGGCACGTGAATTATTCATGCAGATATGAGATATTATTATTGTTGGCACGTGAGTTATCCGTGCAAATATGAGGTATTAATGGTATTGACACGTGAGTCGTCCGTGTAACACATGAGTCGTTCGTGCAGCACATGAGTCGTCCGTGCAACACGTGAGTTGTCTGTGCGGTTATGATTGGTAATGTGGGCACACGATGCCCAGTGATTTGGGACCCGTGATTTGTGATTATGAGGTGTGGTACCCCGGGAGATTTTTTGTATAAACCTTGTGTGGGAGCGGTTGATTATTGGATTGTTACTTATTTTTACTTACTTGATTTCACAGGACTTAAACTGTATTCTGCTTTCTTTATGGCGTTATTACCTGTTTGCTCCTTGTTGTTAATTGTTGCTTCTAGTTTCCATTTGCAAGTATCGTATTGTTATTCTTACCATGTTTAACCATATATTGATATTGTTCTCTATTAGTTTTATATTCATACTTGCACAGATTATTATATCTAGTAGGTATCTTGACTGTTCCTCGTCATTACTCCACCGAGGTTAGTCTTGATACGTACTGCGTACCGCTGTGGTGTACTCATGCTACGCTTGCTGCACATTTTTGTGCAGATACAGGTACCTCAGAGCGCGCTGGTCACTAGTCAGCTGGTTGTGAGTTGCAGCAGAGACTTCAAGGTATACCTTCCATTGCGTTCGCAGGCCTCGGAGTCACCTTCCGGAGTTTTACATTGTTACTGTTTACTTCAATTCCAAACAGTGATATATTTGATATTCTTAGTTATTCCAAACAGCCTCTCTACCTCCACAAAAGTAGGGGTAAGGTCTGCGTACACACTACCCCCAGACCTCACTATGTGGGATTATACTGGGTATGTTGTTGTTGTTGTTGTTTAGTTATTCTTAGAAAGGCTTATGACTTGTAGTACCAATTTTGGGATATTATACATCTATTGATGGTTGTTGGCTATGTATAGAAATTATTGGTTCATGCCTAAGAGTTAATTGGTTTAAATCTGTTGTTAACTCAGTATGTGCTAGGCTTACCTAGTCTTGAAGATTAGGTGCCATCACAACTTCTAAGGAGGGATTTTGGTCGCGACATGTTTATGTGTTTTTGAGTATTAGTATGAGTAGCTAAACCTTATTTCTAGTGTTTTAATGGAATCAATTATTGGGTGAATAATTGACCATGCTTATTTATAATTGAGCCGTTTTTATAATTTATTTGCTCAACTACGTTTTGCATGTTGTTAATTGAATGACCATCGATTAACTGTGCCTATTTATCATATGTTGCTTGAAAAAGAATATTTAATTACTTGGATTTAAAGGTGGGATTAGAGATAACGAAACGTCGACGCGATCTTTGTGAGTCGCTTGAATTACTAGTTAGGGTTAGTTCGAGAGAATAATTCTAGAAAATTACTGCTTTTGATCGAGAGATAATTGTGGTAACAAGAGAACTTACGACAAATGGAGAATAACTCGGGGTGATTATAGTGAACACATTAAGCATTCATCCTAATAATTGAGGAAATCATAATCCTAAGCTTTTTTCTCTTCAATTCACATATTTCTCTTTAGTTGATAATTTTATTGCTTTAGTATTTTTTAGTTAAGTAGTTTAAAACAAAAATCTCAATCTTAATAACTCGAAAATTATTTGAACTTATTTTCTTAGTGATATTAAATAGCTATAGCTAAGCCTTAGTTTACTGTAGGATTCGACTTTGGATTATTAGACTGAATTATATTTATAACGACCGCTTAGTGCTTTTTATAAGGCATAGTTGGTGTGATCAATTTTGGAAAGGAAGAAAAGGGAAAGAAAATGGGTAAAATTGTAGTTTAATGTATTATTTTGTATATAAATGGTAGATCATATATCAACTTGTAATTAAGTTAAAACTTTGAGGGTAAATAAGTTTCAAAAGTAATATAGATAAATAAAAATTCCATTTTTTTTAATTATTTTTTGTTAACAGAGAAATACGTTGCCCTTCCGCATAAAAAAGGGGTTTCCTTTCCAAATGGTTTGACCTTTTTCTCCTTTAGGACTTACCTACCCAGACGACGTCGTTTGTGTTAAGAGGCTTCACGCGTCGAGGTTTTAGCAGGGTTTGGTTCCGCCATCGTCATTGGAAACTCAAAGTGCCTGCCGCAGCTTGTTTATGTTCAACTCTACTAACACAGCATTGTCGTTGCCATGGTTCTATCAAACAAGAAGTTGAAACAAAAAGTAAGAGCAGCTAAAGCTGAACTGCTAGCTGCATCGGAGTCGGAGCTTAAAAGAAATTCCACCAACGTGGAAGACCCAAATCCAAAATCCCTCAAATCTCTTCTAGATTCAGTGACTCAGAAGCCCAGATTATCCAAGAGGGATAAACGTAGAGAAAAGACACTTTCTTCTCAAGAAGAAGAAGAAGGTGGGCCACCGGAGCAGAAGAAAGGAAAAAATAAGAAGAGGAAGAGACATGAAAGCGAGAAGGAGAATGGGGAGCTGAAGACAGAGAAAAAGCCTATCAAGAAAAAGAAGAAGAAGAAGAATAAAGGGAAGCAGAGGTTAGAAGATAGGGAAGTGAAGGAAGGTGTGACTTTTGGGGATGGAGGAAATGGAGAAGCAGAAGCAGAAGCAGAAGCAGAAGCAGTGGAGCCTAGTAAAAGCGTGGAAAGGTATGAAATACTGAAATTCCTCACTTTGTCATATTGGCCTTGTGTTTTCTCTTCTGGAATGGTGTTACAAAGGAGTAGCAATGTTGCTTTGTGATTTTTTTTTAAAACTTTTTCTGCTTTAGTAAGTTAAATAGTAAAATTGTTGGTCTATGTGTGGTCCGTGGTTTTGCGCATGACAATCAAAATAACCATTCCTATCATAAAAGGAGAATTTCCTTTTGTGAAGATGCTGAACCTATGTAGTAATTCGGAGTATTGGAGACTTAAGGATTTCCGCTCCAAAACGGAATCGGATCGAGTGCAACAGCCTGGCTCGAATCGCCGATCGTCGTGAATCCTCGTGTGGCAGATGAGCTACTTCTTTCCACAACCTAATTAAGATGCAGATAGTAAACCCTAGCTGTTCTCTCTGTGAACAAAAAGTGAGTTTCCTAACACCCATAGTGGTGTTTATACACACTACACTATAGGAGCTAGGGTTAGACCTAATGGGTCGGCTACTTATTCATTAGGCAACACCCTGATACGTAATTGGATCGAAAATAAGGTTATAACAAAAATACACGGAATCAAAAAAGAAAGAAGATTAGGGTTTAAAATGGTGAAAGACAAGAATTTAACTATACGGAATTAAGGATGTGACATCTCTAGATTCAAATTCGGTTACACTCCCACTGTCTTGCAGCCCTATGAACACACAACTTTTTGAGGTCTCAAAATATCTAATAAAATACTCTTTCTTCCCCTTGGGCCAATTTGCCATATTTATGAGAGGAATCGTGAACATAAGCTGCACATCCCCAAGGTCTCAAGACACTTAGGTCGGGTTTTCTACCAGTCCATAACTCATATGTCGCTAGTATAAGATACACGAATTACCTTCTGGGAGCCACTCTTAGGTGCCCTCCTTGGTTGAGTGCATTTACTAGAGTATGACCCATTTGGTCACAATTGTAGCACTTCATTTTTGTCATATTTTTCTTTTTTTCACGTTTCTTCTCGCCTTGTTGGTCATTTTGAGGCTTCTTGTTTGGTTGACCCTTGCCTTTCCAGTTCCCGTTGGCTTTACGTTTAAAATCACCCCTCGAGCTAGAAGCTGCAGACATATGCACCTCTGCACTATGTTTGCCAGCCTCAAGCCGTTCTTCTTCCGGTTCATGATGTCGTCTCACATCCTCGAACGTCACAATACTCTCGTCATGAGTTAGGTGCATCTTCAAATGCTCCCAACTCTGAGGCAGGGAACGAGTGACTGCTTGGACTCGTTGCTCATCAGTCAACTTATGACCCGCATCTGCCAACTCATTTATCATATTTGACATTATCCTTTAGTGCTTCCTCATGTTGTGCTCTGGGCACTTCTTATAGGTGTCAAATTTGATAGTGAACGACCTAAGTCTAGCAACCGTAGTGCTACCTAACTTAGTTTTCAGAGCATCCCACAGATTCTTAGCAATTATGTGGGTCTTGAATTCCCTCCTGATATCATCATCCATGCTGCTCAGCAACGTAATGCGAGCTAGATTCTTTTTCTTCCAAGCAGTATAAGCCTCAGGATCACGCGTATGCTGGGCCATAATGCCCTGCTCAGGCTCATCCATGACAGTGTTTAGAGTCTCAAGAACCTCTTGTTCTTCCGGCACGTATTGCAGTTTCATGCTCCAAATCTCATAATTGTTGCCGTTGAGCTTTTCGCCTTTGTTAAGCTCTGCAACAATGTTCTTCGAAGCAGTAGACATGGTTTCTTGTGGAACAGAAAAGTTCTACACATTTCAAAAACATAGAGTTTTAACAATTAGCATAAAACACACATGTTTATTGTTTTGCATACACTTAAATGTGTCTAGCAAATTGAAAAAAATAATACACAAACATAAATCTTCGAGCCAAAAGTTCACCATGTTCCCAATTATTGTCTATGGATTGATGTTTAAATGCAAATTAGCGAAATCAATTCAAGCCAAGTCACGAAATAAAAATATTCCAACAAATATTATTATTTCTAAACTAAGCAAGCAGTATATATAAAAAAAAATATACATGTCCCTTATAAATAAGATATTATTCTAGGTTTACATTTAAATCAACAGAATAACTCATTAGATCTGGAATATTTACATATTTCCAAGAACAAATCAAGTAAAAATTCAATATTTATGCCTAATTTCACTTAGAAAATAGGATATTTATTTTACATGGCATATAGGGAGAGTGAGTCACATAGACATATTCTCTAGATCATATAATAATTTTTCATATTTTTTATTTTTCAAAAATACTGCAAAAAATAATTATTGGGGAATTAGCAATTTCACAGTGGTATTATTACAGAAAGAATACTTTCCAGATTCAAAAAATTACACAAAATATGGAAAAATCAAAAATTAAATTACGAGCAAAATAGGAAAAATTCATAGAAAACGGAGCCCTGGGGACGCTGCATGCACCCCATGCGTCGCTACCACGACTGGGCTTCGCCAGGCCATGTGCATGGTCGTCTCTCCAGCCAGACGAGTTTGACCCGACCCAGAACCAGAAAATCGGGTTTTGATAATTCCGCAAAACAGTGAGGGATTTTTTCCGGCATGTCGATTCATAATTCTGGCCAAGAAACACATTTTCTGGCCAAATTAGTTTGATTGAAATATTGACTAAAATCCTAAACGTGTTTTAGGACCAGTTAGGACAACTTATTCCCCGAAAAACAAACTAAATTTGATCCCTACGATCAAAATTAATTGTTTTTCATTCAAACAAACCCTAATCAAATTTTCGTTATAATCAGATCATTTTTCCGAATGAAAAACACAATTGATGAATTATTTTTTCTCAAGTTACTTATTACAACAGTTTTCATAACAGATTTTGCATATAAATTATATGAAACATGAATAGTTGAATTTTAGGGTTAAACTAGTTTTTTATGAAACCCTAAAATTTAAACTTACATTACTCACAAACTGTAAGGCCAAATTTTATGTTCTATATATCGTCGAAAAGCTCTGGACGAGATATTTAAAAGTCCTAAGGTTTCACACACAAAACAAGTAGTTTTGAAGTTAAAATAATGCAAGAATTCTCGGGTTTAACATGAAAAAACCTTAGAATTAATATACTGTGCAATAAAATGAATTACACGACCAGAAAACGGGCACAAATGGAATGAAAAGTGGGTCCGTGTAAATGATCAAGACCTCGCAAACAACCAGTGTAGTTATTCAGGGTATTGGAGACTTGCAGATTTTCGCCCCAAAACGGACGTGATTGAGTGCAACAGCCTGGCTTGAATCACCGATCATCGAGAATCCTCACGTGGCAAATGGACTCCCTATTTCCAGTCTAATTAGCCGTTGATTGGAGATGCAGATAGTCAACCCTAGTCGTTCTCTCTATGAACAAAAAGTGAGTCTCCTAACACCCATAGTGGTGTTTATATAGACTACACTATAGGGGCTAGGGTTAGACCTAATGGGCCAGCTTGTTATTAATTAGCCAGCACCCTTTATGGGTGTACTGGCCCAAAAGGCTAATTTTTACTAACAACTTATGTAGCACAAAATGGCTAATGTTTATTTGATTTAAATATTACCGTTATTTCTTATCAACCTGACGTAACTTCGGGTTTGCTAGAGTGCCAATTCAAAGGCCTAGCTAGGTCTTATTTTGAACGCGATCGATTGTTCGAATCTGCTACAGACAGTGCAAAACTATGTGCGCACACAACTGGAAAAGGATAAAAAAGAACTAAAGGAGCTTGAAATTGATGGTCTATGGTAGATGAGTACTCCTCAATTGCATCAAACTCTTGTTTTTGGCTGTGGGCACGGACTTTTTTATGACTTTTTGTTTGAACTATGTTTTTGCAGTCATGTGTACAACTCTTATCCGAGTTACCCCAAGAGCAAGGTGGGGAGTTCTTAGAGGGAGGAAGCCGAGGGTTATCGGAAACAGCCTCTCTACCCCAGGGTAGGGGTAAGGTCTGCGTACACACTACCCTCCCCAGACCCCACTAGTGGGATTATACTGGGTTGTTGTTGTTGTTGTTGTTGTGTACAACTCTTATCCATTGCATGATTTCAGATGTACTCTTTCATATTCTTCCTCATTTTTGACAACAATGTTGCTCTGGCAATGTGCCTGTTTATTCCAGGGAAGAAAGAGGCGATATTTCTAGAAAAGTTTATGTTGGAGGAATTCCTTATTATTCCACTGAGGACGATATTAGGAGTTACTTTGAAGGTTGTGGCACCATTACAGAAGTTGATTGTATGAATTTCCCTGACAGCGGAAAGTTCAGAGGAATTGTCATTATCACTTTTAAGGTAGATTCTTTAGGTGAACTGTGTATTCAAATAGTGTTTAATGGTGTCCTTTGCACTATCTTTGGAGATTGTTGCTTAAAGGTTTTGGATGTGTTTGTTACCATGCAATTGTGTGACAAAGTTTTGAAGTATGTGACGATGCACACTTTTCAGGCCGAAGAACTAATTTTTGTTTGACAGTCCATTTGATAACTAATTTTTGTTTGACAGTCACTGTTCCTTGCATTGGTTTCTCATTTATGAAGGCATACATGAATTGTTGTAATATGTTCCACTGATTTTATGTTTTTATAGCTTCCATAAGCTGGTTTAAGAAATCCCATTTCTTGAAACTTGCTAAATATCAAGCATGTTCAGGTGTGGCAGAGATGGATAGAAATCCTATGAGCCAAAATTTAGTATAAGTTGAGGCAAACTGCATGATGACTGTTCTCGTTATTGGCATTGACTACCCTATAACATTTTTCTTATGGAGAAATATTTGAATGCATTTATCACGGAATTGTCTTGTTTTTTTTACTGCTTGCTAATTGTCAAGTAAATTACAAGGTCCCTCTTACCTTGTCTTGCACTACCTGCTTCCTACTCCTGAAATCTCACATGCATCCTGCACTCTCTAGCTGATAAGTATATGCAGTTATCAAGCCTATAGCCAGGTCAACTGACTTCATTTGCTGTTTTTACATGAGGCTTTACAAGCACACATTTTTTAGGAAACATACTATTCTTAAAAAATAATGCGTATAATTGGGAAAGAGGAAATGACAAATTAAAGGAAAAAGGAAAATTTGTCCAAAACAAAAAATAACAGCTTATCCCAGATGTTCTCTCTCCTGTACCAATAAAAACCGATTGATGCTACTCAGGCGCTCTTGCCATCTGACAATCTCTCTTACCCTTTCTCTTTCATCCGCTCACCAGTGACTGCCTCTTCTCCTCTTGGTATATGTACTGCTGTTTATAATTTCTCATTTCATCCGCTTCCAAAAATATGACTCAAGGAAAAGCAAGCAATATTCTCAGTGATTGTTTTGTCTTTATTTATAGGTCATAGCAAAATAAGAAGCAAGAAAGGGATATTATTATTTATGTAGAATCTTCATCTGTTCTTCTTTCGAAACCAATCTGTAAACTGTCTATTTGCATGTGTCTTCTTTGTCTGTTTTAGTCAAATCAAGATTATATTTTTCTCTTATCTAGTTTGTTTGAATGTAACAAATTTTACTTTATCTTTTGATTCATTCTACTAAATTGACTCGCGTTGCATGTGGCAGATTCAAATGGTAGCTTTCAATCTCATTCCTTTTCTTCCATTGCGCTATTCCCTGAAAGATTTTGGATAATGATGCTTTGTGTGGGTCTCACATTTGTAGCTCCCTTTTTCTTTTCTGGAATTTGTTTTGAAGCTTATTTTCTGATTCTGTTCCACGTGCCACTTCTGTTAATCACTTTTTTACTGCTTGAATTTCATGTGTTTCTTCTGATTCTTAATCTTGAAAAGGTTGGACGGCTTAGTAGTTTTATGTACTCTTCCTTTTCTTTTCTGTGCTTTGTCTCTTAGAATGTTCTGTCAGTCATTACAGTATTTTGAGAATAATTTCACTGAGTGAAAACTGGAGAAATAGAGGGTGTTGGAGTTCCATCTAGAAACCTCCCAACCTTCAATAGGGTGGCTGGCTGAACCTAATTCAGAGTTCTGCATATTACTCATTAATTAATCTAAAAAAATGCTACTTTGGAATGTATTTTCTCCAAACTGTGTAGAAATTCTGCAAAATCAATCTCATTTGTGTTTGAAATTGTTTCTTCTTCTTATACGACAACTAGTCTTAAAGTCCAACTATTAGCAGCTGTCTTTCATGTAGCTTTCTGCAAAGTTTTGATCTTGATATGTCAAGCATCTTGAATTGGTTATTCTTGTTTGCCCCTTTTTTATTAATCATTTATTTTATTTATTTATTTGAGAGGAGCGGCAAGAGTTCAAGTTACCCACTTTCACACGGTTACAAAGTGCAATGCTTGTCTGAACAATTACCTAGCTTTGCATTTGATAGATGTCTTATCACCTAAGCCAACTCATATAATTTCTCCTTCAGACCCTTTGTTGGTTTTCCTTAGAAATTTGTTAGTGGTAGTGGGTTTCTCACTAAATTCATTTTCCAGACTGAAGCAGCTGCTAAGAGAGCCATGGAACTGGATGGTTCTGATATGTAAGTGCAATCATGTATTTATTCATTGAGAAAGTTAATTTTGTGTGGCTTCTCATTAACACTTATATCTTCTTCCAGGGGTGGACTATTTCTGAAAATCCAGTCATACAAGTCAGCTAGAGCAAACAAAGCATCCAACTTCTCGCCAAACATGGTGGAGGGGTATAATAGGGTATATGTGGGTAACTTATCATGGGATGTAACAGAGGATGACTTGAAGAAACTTTTTTCAGATTGCAGCATAAGTTCTATCCGATTTGGTGAAGATAAAGAAACAGGAGAATTTCAGGGCTACGCACATGTGGATTTTGCTGATAGTGTCTCTGTAAACATGGCGTTAAAGTTGGATCAAAAAAATGTATGTGGTAGACCTGTTAGAATAAGTTGTGCTGTTGCAAAGACAGGAGCTGTAAAGAAAGGCGGAGCGACCAATTCAAGACCTATGCCCAAAAACGAAAATGCGGATAGTGCTACAACAAGCACTGTCAGCGCAAAGATTAGGAGGCGGACATGCTACGAATGTGGAGAGCGTGGCCACCTTTCATCTTCTTGTCCAAAGAAACAAGAAATTGATCAAGTTGCTAATTGATTTTATTGGAGACCTAATTATTCACAATTTTTTACTTGACCTGTGCTCACACAAGTTTTGGTGTTCATTTTTTATCCTCTTAGACGACATTTTTAGAAGTCCATTGGTTTCTAATTGTGTTCGTTTTCTAGAAAACTTCAGCTGATGTGGTGTAGTTAGCTTATCAAGTAATCCCAATATAAACTTTCAGTTTTCACTGCCGCAAAGCAGAAAATAGAAACATGTGATAGACTTGTTGGAGAAGTAGGACTGGGCCACGAGATGAGCCGGCTTAAGCTTCGGCTCTCCTCGCCTATATTTTAGTTCGACATAACTGGGCTCGGTTTTAGTGTGACTAACATTTTAATTATACTTTAATTATTTTGATTTAATTAAATTCTTTATGCACATCGTTACTTAACTACTTTCTGGGTGGTAGATGTAATTAACATTTTAAATTTAAGAATTCAAAAATTTAAAAATATTATTCCTTCTGTTTCAAAAAGATTGCACTATTTTCTTATTTGTCCGTTATAAAAAGATTGACATCTGTCAATATTTCCTTAATAGGAAGTATTTATAGCCACACAAATGTTATGACAGTTTTCAGATCACAAGTTTTAAAAGTTTTACAATCACACAAATGCTATGACTTATTTAACACCACATATCTCAAAAGTCTTCCCTTTTTTATTAAAGTTGTGCCAAATTAAACTAAGACAATCTTTTTTAAACGAAGGGGGTAATATTGTTTTGAATTTAATGGTGCTTTATTTTTGTTTTTGCAAGTTCTATTCTATGTTCAATATTAAGTTAACGTCATTTAAATTTGAGTTCTAATTTAAACTGATAATGTATATAATTTAGTCACACTTGAATGGAATTAATCAACAAAATTAATTATGAATTTAATTTTTCTTATGGGGTAGCACTATGCGTAACTAAACACTAAAGAGTTGATTAGGGCTCGGTTTGACTAGGCTAGAGATTGGTTATATTTAGACAAAGCTCAGTTGAGCTCGACTCGAGCTTGATGTTGTTAAAAGCTCGGTGAAGTTTGGTTCGGTTGGGCTCGGGTTCTGCTCCGGCTCGCTTCCTCAGCATGACGCCCAGGCCTAACAAGAAGCATGCGAATTCCGATTAAACTCACTCAGTGACGTGCTCAATGTCACTCACATCTCCAATGTATTTATGCAAAATAGTTGGTATTTGGCCAATACATTAATCGAAGTACAAGAAGACCTTTTGAATCATTTGCTTATTCATCAAATGCTTACATTACAATAGTCTTCTTTTTTAAAGCTCTTTTAGGTCTCCCCTGAACTTGGATTACTGAGTTAATAGCAAAATGACAATGTATTCGTGCTAGGTGTGAATTTAGGACTAAATTTATCTCTTGCCCTTTTGATGAATCAACTCTTTTTCAATATTAAGGGGGAGAGCATAAGCAATTGAAAAAGAAGTTGCATAAAATTAATTTTCATTGCAACGTCTAGATTCTCTTATCAGGCAATATGAACCTAAAGTTCAAAAGATAATTAATTTACAAACGTTGTAAATCAGCTGCGATACATATTTACTGACCCAATTAGGATAATTAAATCTCATACACTACCTACAATACTATAATTAAAATAGTACGTCTAACAAACTGCTAGTACTAATGAGTCGATAACATACCTGAAGCATACTAGACCGAACGTCTCTAAAGATAACAATTCTAGACATGCAAGGAGTGTGAACTTCATTTGGGATCCTACAAGTAAGGTGATTTTTTAAGACAGTCAAACACCAAAAGAGATGACTCCAAAAGAGAACTCCAGAAAAGAGACTTGCCACAGTTTCAAAGGAAAGATACATGAAATCATTAAAATGAACAGATGACGATTAAATGTTATGTTGGGACATAGATACAACCGCAATTATGCTTCAATTCATAATAAGTTATGTCGACTATATGAATCCTCCTTATCTATGTTACTCTTTTAAGCCTGTCTTAAACTAATATTATAAAAAAAATTATTTCTCTAAGGCCATCTCCAACCCACCTCCATTTTTACCTCAAACTCCATTTTGGAGTCAAAAATGGAGGAATTTTGCTCCAACCCAGCTGTAAATTTACCTCCATTTTCGAGGCTGAACAATGTCACTCCAAATTCCATCACTATTCCCTATTATTTTATTATTATTTTTTATTATACCCTTTTAATTTATCATATTATATATACCTAATTATATTTATGTAATATTTTTATAATATTAATTTTACATCTTAATTTTGACGTATAATTTTGCTAAATTAATTTTCGTGCATATATTATTGTTATGTAAAATTGTAAGTTAATTTTATTATAAGTTATAATTGTATACAAAAATATATAACCATCACAAAAATGAAAGGTGAAAATATAAAATACAAGATGTTGCTAAAATAGAAAATTGAAAATTAAAAATTGAAAATATATTAAATAAAAATACATTAAAATTGGAAATACATTAAATTGAAAATACATGAAAATTGAAATTACATTAAATAACATAATAATTTTGTAGGGAGGTAAGTCATTTCCGGATACATCAAAATCATTAAAGAATTGAGTGAATGGGGCAGAGGATTAGTGTGGTTGTGGCAGTAAAAATTGTTGGCTGGCTTCTTTTATCTATTATTCATTTTTGTTCTTGTCGCAAAAATTCACGACGATTCGGATCGACAATAGAATCCACATCGATGAGTAAAATTTTATTTTCTTCTTTGACTTCTTTTAGTCTCAAAGCTTCTTTTTTTGCCTTCAAAACTTCTTTTTCTTTTTGTCTCATTTGAATCTTTCATTACCTCAATAATTCGACTATTTTCTGATTGGACCATTTTCATATAATCTTCATCTATTTTTCTCTTCATTTTTTCTTTCTTCACCCCACTCCATTTTCATGTAAACTACATTTTTTGCTTTCTTCACCCCAACAATCCGAGGATGAGCGTGATCTTAATACACCAATTCAAGATGCTTGGGAAGGTCCAACTCCAACAATAGAAATGGTAGTAGATGAAAATCATCGATTTGAATAATTTTTAGGTCGATACAAAAAAATTAAGGAAAGATGCTCATTTTGCACTTTGTAATGCATTAATAGATCATTTATGTGAGCATACTAGAGGTATAAGTTGAATATTTAAGTAGTATCTAAACTAAATTTTAAACTACATGTAATATGTATTGAATTGTCTTGTATCTCAATGATTTTACTTTTATTTGAATTATCCATTAATATGTATAATCTATAATATTTTCTTAAAAATTATATTATTTAAAAATTTATGGTATAAAATAAATTTTAAATGGTTATTTAAGAAAGAAATATAAATTATATGGGATGAATATGTAAAAAAAGAAAGAAAGATAGGATTTGTTTAACTGAATAAGAAAATAAAATTTAAATAAATAATAATAATATAATATAGAAGAGAGAAGAATATAAACAGAAATATTCTTTTTTGGAGTAAAAAAATAGAGTAATGGTTGGAGTTAGTTTACTCCATTTTGGAGTTACTCCATTTTAGAGTAAAGATTTGGAGATGGCCTAACAGTAATAATTCTCTAGATTTTCTACTGAAATATAAGTCTCTAACAGTTAAATTAAGATTCCTAACATATATTGGACCTAAAGTAAATTTTCTTGCACGACTAAAAACTTAATTCCTACTAATTGTTGTTGCCTATATAGATTTTGTTCTTTTATTTTGTCCTATTTTTGCTAGGTTTGCATGTACTCTAAGAGATTTTAGATCTTTAAAAGATAATTATTTTTCATGTAATTTTAGGTCTATCTTATCATCTTTTAACGCCAACACTCAATATGGCAGTAACTTTCTTGCACCCGGTATTTATACCAAACCAATAAATGCGTGATATTTGTCTTTCAAACAACATTTATTATTAACGAGGGTGAAGTGACTAGTAGGTATCAAAATTTTACTGGATCAAGATTCTGTAACGATTTGGCCGGTCGATTTGAGTATTTTACCCATGTTCCCCTATTTATTGCCTCATCTATGTTATATCATGGTTATGTGACTTACCAGAGTATTTGGTTTTGGGTTCGGGGTGTGTTCGGAGTGAAATGGGATACATAGTCCCTAAGTTGGAGGCTTAAGTTGAAAGAGTTGACCGTCGTTTGACTTTTGTGTAGACGACTCCGAAATAGAGTTTTGACGGTTTCAATAGACCCGTATTGGTAATTTTGGACTTAGGAGCGTTTCCAGATATTTATTTAGAGGTCCGTAGGTCATTTCGGATTGAATTGGTAAAAGTTAAAAAGTTGAAGGTTAGGAAGGTTGAGAAGTTTGACCGAGAGTTTGACTTTATTGATATCAGGGTCGGATTTTGATTTCGGAAGTTGGAATAGGTCCGTCATGTTATTTATGACTTGTGTGCAAAATTTGAGGTCAATTAGAGTTATTTTGGTATGAATCGACGTTAGTTTTTGAAGTCGGATGTTCATAGTTTTAATAGGCTTGAATTGGGTTACGATTCGTAGAATCGATATTGTTTGATGTTATTTTTGGCCTCGAGTAGGTCCATTATGTATTTTGGAACTTGTTGGTATATTCGGACGGGGTCCCGAGGGCCTCATGTAATGACCCGGCTGGTTATTTTGAGTATTTTAGCCCCGATCCCCTATTTATTGCCTCCTCTATATTGTATTATGGTTATGTGACATGCCGGGGGTGTTTGGTTTTGGTTTTGGGGGAGTTTCGGAGTGGATTGGGACACATAGTCCCTAAGTTGGAGGTTTAAGTTGAAAGAGTTGACCATAGTTTGACTTTTATATAGATGACTCCGGAATGGAGTTTTGATGGTTCCAATAGCTTCATATGGTATTTTGGACTTATGAGCGTGTCCAGATATTGATTTGGAGGTGCGTAGGTCATTTCGGCTTGAATTGGCGAAAGTTAGAAAAATTAAGGTTTGGAAGATTTGGAAAGTTTGACAAGGAGTTGACTTTATTGATATCGTGGTCGGATCCCGATTTCGGAATTTGAAATAAGTCCGTAATGCCATTTATGACTTGTGAGCAAAATTTGAAGTCAATCGGAGTTGTTTTGGTATGAATCGACATTGGTTTCGCAATTCGGAAGTTCATAGTTCAAAGGCTTGAATTTGGGTTGCGATTCATAGAATCGATGTTGTTTGATGTGATTTTTAGCATCGAGTAAGTTTGTT